TGCAGGTGCTGCGCCTGTGACGTCAAACTTTGATTCTTAAATGGCTTTTATGATTATTAGTTGCTGGTTTAGGTCCATTATAAGGTGCTATATGCATATCTGTTATTGTTTTTTGGTAAGACGATGCTACAAGATGGAGAACATTTAAAATATATACAAGGTGTTTTGTCCTCGCTGTCATCAGGTTGTTGTGTTCCACATACATATATACCGCGTACACACATTTATTTTTTACAGGTTTGTTATGTATTATGTGTGTTTACTTGTCACTCGTTGGGTCTATTTGATATTTTTTTCAGCTAGTGCAACCAGGAAGACGGCGTTGCTCAAGTGTTAAGTGTTAGCGCGCAGGTATAAGGTATTATACCTTCTTCTGGCATAACAGTGGCGTGTTCGCGAATCGGGTTAGAGGGTTTAGAGCTGGCGCGAACTTGAAATGATAAATGCGTATGATAATTTTTAAAGTAAAACTGATTTTTAGAAACTTTAACGAATACTAAAAATTGCGTTTTCGTTCAAATTTAAGATAGATTCCTGACCTTTACTTTTAAATTACATTGTTTTTTTCTAGGGTGGCGGTCAAATAATTGAACAACTTTTTGTTTTTTGTTGCGTTACGGTTTATTCAGTCATCTTCAGACGTTTAAAGTGTTACTGCTTGTACACAAATATTAACTTAATTTTAAACATTCTTACATGTTCAAGTATAGCATACTTTATACTATACTGTATTTTATACTTTATACTATACTGTATATTGTATACTGTGTACAGTAGTTTAACATGAAAAAATGTTAAAATTATGTTAATATCTGTGTACAACCAGTAACACTTTAAAGGTCTGAAGATGGTTGAATAAACCGAAATGTAACAAAAAACATAAAGTTGTTTAATAATTTGACAGTCATCCTGGAAAAAAACAATATAATTTTCATTTAAATTCAACCAATTTTTAATTTTGCCACAACTTTGTTGTTCCTTTTTTAATGATTAATGTGATGATGGGGTATGTAAAGTAATATTAAATTTTGTACAGAAAACAGGAATGTGTTTTAAAACACGTGTTTTATATACTGTTTAAAACACAATCTAAATAAAACATGTCTTAAATTAAAGTGTTTTAAACAGTATTTTAAACTGTGTTTAAAAAAAATTAACATCACACATTAAACATTATTTAAATTCCTTCGCCTACAGCAAAAGTACTTATGGGTTATAATAATAAATGAAAAAGACGTTTCTTTCCTCTATAGGTATTTTCAGAACACAAATAGTTAATGACGTCAACAGGCCACGATAAAAAAATAGCTACAACCAGTTTAAAACTTTTAAAACATGTGTTTAAAATAAGTGTATAAAGAATTGTTTAAGACCTATAAACACACGTTTAAAAAGTTTTGACCTGTTTGCTTCATAAATTTAATAAAAACCAACATTAATACTATCGTCGGCGTATTTGCAAAGAAACATATTTAATATTTAAATAAAATACATGAAAGTTTCAACAATAAAAATATAGTGAAACAACTCTACAATTTTTTCGACCTATTTGGTCATTTTCAAGAGTACAGAAAAATGTTACATACAATTGTCGCGTTGTTTTATTATATTATATTATATATGTATATTTTAATAAAAAGTGTTTTTATTTTATTACCCTGCAAACCCCATAATTACCCATCTATTAATTATTTACTTTTGTGTTCGCTTGTAAATTAGCTGTTTCATTTTCTCTGTTGCGGTTTAGTCATAGGCGTTCGTCCAATGGGCACACGGGTGCTCACAAATCTCGTTCTCGTCTAACCGCCACTGTTGCCTCATTAATTACAATGTCGTAATGACCACCAACCACACTACACTTTTTATTCCAAATTTAATAATCACGTCAGTTTACATTATTTTAATTGCTTTAATTATCATCGTACTTCTTCAAAATCCCATTTTTACCGAATAATATTGAATTTACAAAATAGCTTTCGATTTTTATCATTTTCAATAATATTCACTCATTTAGCTCACGCATCCACATCTCTCAGTAAGACTTAAGGTTATTAAATTTAAAATCAATAATTAAACAGACATGTACACACATTTATCACATTTAAACCAGACACGAAGTAAGTACAACCACAATAAATTATTCGTTTTAGTTTTTACTAATTTACCTCTCAGTTTGTTTCAGCATGAAAGGTAAGTAAAATACTTTACATACAACCAAATATTTTTTAAACAACAATACTAACCATCTTATCTTTTTTTCTTTTTCAGCTCTTCCTGGACTATTGTCCTTGTCATCAGTACAGACGTTCATTCTTTCTCTTCCCTCTTGGAAGAGAAAGCCTACCAATCAACACAATCACACAACTCGTTAAAATCGCGATCAAAGTATTTCTCTTTCCAACTTCGTCACGTTATTGTTTATTTGGGTTGCTTGTTGTTCGCTCAAAATATTAGTTCTCCATCCTCATTCTAATTATAAATGGTTTTGTTGTGGTTCTATTGTCCCAAGTCTCGATTCGTTACAGGTTGGTTCTATACGGGCAATAGTCTCCTCGGTTCTCTATGAAAATCTATTGGAGGGTACATTCCGCGGTATATAATAAGCGTTGACTTATGATGAAAACTCAGATGAGAAACCCCTTGGATTAGTTCAAAATTGTTGTTTTATTGAAAAGACTTCTTTCCATTAAACAACTGAGAACTAATCCAGGAATTCTTCTCATCCAATTTTTCACCATAAATTAATATAAGAACAACATCATATTGACTTATGATGAAAACTCAGATGAGAAACCCCTTGGATTAATTCAAAATTGTTGTTTTATTGAAAAGACTTCTTTCCATTAAACAACTGAGAACTAATCCAAGAATTCTTCTCATCCGCGTTTTCATCATATTAAAGCGTAAAAGAGTATCCTTTTTTGGTGTTTTATATTTATCGCATTAATTTATGCGACGATACAAGGGCAACAGCAAATACCCTTACACTGGGAAACCAGCGTTAATGTTAGCAGTATCACAAATTTTTCCCGTGTGGGGAGCCTGCAACCCCCATCGGGCGCGTCCCCAGGTGGCGGATAGGGGAAAACCGGATAGGGATAATCACGGGCGTCTACTCGCAAAACAGACGAGTCTGCTTAAATTAATGACACTTGTGCAGTGTGATATTATTCTTTCAATTAATTTTTTTTTAAATTAATAAAATGATGATATCCAGACATAGCAATATAAATTTCTACTCTGGTATATGTTTGAAGTGCGGCGTTGTACGGGTGCAAAACATTGACGGTGGGCGCGGCGGAAAAGGTTAAAACGTTCGAAATGTGGTGTTACCGGCGAATGATGAGGATACCGTGGTTAGAGAAGGTTAGAAATGAAGAGATATTAGAAAGAATAGGAGAACACGGGTGTTTATGGAAGTTAATAAAAAATAGGTGAGATAGATTTTTAGGACACCATCTCAGGCATGAAGGTCTAGTCAGAGACATATTAGAGGCAGAAATAGGAGTAAGAGGAATAGAGGTGGACCTAGATTAGATTACTGTTCGCAAATAGTTAAGGATGTGGGATGTTCTAGTTTTAGGGAAATGCGAAGATTAGCTCAGGATAGGAAGGAGTGTATGTGCGTGTGCAACCAGTCTTAAGACTGACGACCTTATGATCGTTCATATTATTATTCTGTTGAATGTAATTGGCCGAGTGGTAAGGACGTTCGAATTATACGCCACAGCGCTCGAGTTCGTTTTGCGGTCGATGTGATAAATTTTTTTTTTATTTGTTTATTTATTTTTACTTTTTTTTAACGGATATGTTTAGGATCATAAGATTACTTGGTGAGTGTTGTCGTTATTATGAATTTCCTTTTATTGATTTGTTTTATTTAATAACTCTACATTAGATTTTCCAAAAATATCCTTATTATTTTATCCATTTGCATGAGCAATACGACAAGTGATAGCGCGGTACATAAACCAGTGATAGTCACGCTTATAGTAAATTTGAATCACTCGCTAAAACTTCTAATATCGAAGCAATTACTCTCATTTGCTAATTCTAACAATTTCATTGGGCAGGTTTGTTCTGCGAGTAGTAGACGCTCTTGAATTCATCCGGTAAGGGGAACAATTATTATGTTTCCCTCGCGGACCAACAGGCAAAGTAGTGTAAAAATGTATATATGCTACCGGATATGTATACAATCTAGGAATTGTATATAATTCCTGAAATCGCCCTGAAACGTGTGAAATAAACTACGTTAGATACAATTCCTAGGAAATCTATACATTTTCTAAATAGGTAATAATACGGCAGGCTTTTTGGAGATGTACCTATATCCATTGGTGGCGTCATTGTTTGGTTAGGGAGATTTATGACAGATTGGGGTTTCTTTAATGCATCTGATGTGTTAGATGTTAGAATAATGTGACTAAGTTATCTTTATTTTATAAAGATATATGTGTAGTAAATCTTTGATGTTTATAGATTTCATAAATAGCCTCGAAATTATATATATTTCCTAGGAATTATATACAATTCCTAGATTTCATCCATTTCCGATAAAATATATACAATCTAATTGTAATACACGTACTTAATACTAATAATAGTAAATTTTATTTTAATCGGTCTTTATTACATTATCATTTAATCAGAATTTTTAATTAAAATTCCGAGATGGAACTTATTTAAATAGCATGTTTCACCAGAGAATGACCAAAACTGACACAGTAAAATAATAAACAGCAAAATACTCTGAGTAAATTTTAGTCTAAAGGTAATAATACTCTGTTTATTTGCTGTCGCCATATTACCGCCATTTTGGTCCCCTGTGATATCGTCATTGTTCGTGCTTGGTTTTATCTATTTATATCGTCTAATCTTTTTTGAAAATGAAGCGATTTAAGTATATTTAATATAAATATAAAAACATCAACCTTGTAAACAATAAGTAAATAAGATATCTTATCATATTTAAAATACGAGTAAAAGAAAAACATGAGTATAAAGCAACACGTGTGTTCCGTAATATTTTATTTCTATTAAATTCCTTTACATAAGAAAAAGTGTCCTAGATAGCAAAGAAAAATTTGACCTTACATAAAGGTGATATTTAGAATAATAACTTAAAGTCAAATTATATTTCTATTTTAATAGCCTTCATCACTCCAGCTGATGTCATAGTCAGGATAAACTTTTTTAAGTAATTCTACCGTTACTGCATGTTCAGCTTTACCATATGCCTGAAAAGTCGTTACAAAATTTAAAAAGATAATACGAAATTTTATTTAGGGCTAATTACCTGTGAATATCCGTAAACTTTTATATTTTTATTGGCAGGATCGTGAATAATTCTACCACCCCCCAAAACTTGTGTTTTCCACTCATTAAAAGAACCTTTTTCTTTTAATTTATTTAATTCGTCCGTTACAAGATCATTTACATCAACTGAAAGAAATCATTGTTTGAAAACATACGAAGATTCTTTTAAAGGCAACACCTACCGTGGTAGTTACATTTTGCATAACCCCTAACAAGCGTTTTTTCTTCATTTTTTCCCTGATCTGATATAGTCAGTTTTAAAAGAATATATTTAAAAACGCCGCTCGGTTCGATGTCAACCTCTGGAACTGAAGATGTCATCCTCCTAAAGAATAATGCGAAATTACGTACTGTTAAATACATCTTTAAGCCGCCATTTTGAATCGTCATCTGTAACTCTTGTACGCCATCTTACTAGTAGCTGTTACCAAATTTAAATGCTAAATATTTTTTAATGGCTAATTGATTTTTAAGATTTAATATTGTTCGCAATAATTATCCCCTGTATTTCTATATTGAATATTCTAACAACATTTACAGATAGTCTCATTAAAAAATATTTAGTTTTGATAATATAACTTTAACCAGCTGCATGGAAGATAAATACTTTACATAAGCCCAATAAGTAATCAGATATCTGATAAATCTAATAATTTAAACAAATTTAAATTTACAACTGTCAGCACCTGTATAAACAGAACGGATGCTGTCAAGTGTCTGAAGATGAACTATAACCTTATAAATAAAGCATAAAAACCGTTTTACAACAAATTACAATTAAAAAGTGATACTTATGAAGAAACAATTATGTTAGCAGCAAACGCAAAAGAAATATGGAATAATTTAAGAGGGGTAATTTGCGTTTATAAACCGGCTGGTATAAAATGTAATCAAATTAGGAAAAGCATTATTAATGCCGTTTGTTCAGGTAACTAAATAAAAATTATTTCCTTACATACCTTAAAAAATATGTTTTTATAAAATTCAAAAAGAAATATTTTTCTCGCCTTGTGTTCTTCACTCAAAACTATTTTGATACTCGTCAAAATTATTATTGTGCAACTCGACGCACGATCGCTGAATTATCTGGCGGGAAACTTGAAAGCCTCTTAATTAGGATTTAATATTTATTTAAAAGATTAATCAGATACAACGATGGTATCAGCATTTCCTTAATAATAGTTACATAAATAATTGACATAACTTCCATTTGGAAAATATTTTCGTGCCCTTCATTTCAAAATATTTATATAAAAAATGAAGTAGGCACTATCCTAAATTAATAAAAAAATTAAAAAAAGCCATTGGAAATACATAGCAGCATGTTGTAATTGTAGCATTTAAAAATAACATATTCTAATAACAATATAACGTATTATTATGAATAAATTA